GAAAAAAAAAAAAAAAAAAAAAAAAAAAAAAAAAAAAAAAAAAAGGACATTTTAAAGACAATCGACTTTGTAGAAAAGTAGGAATATGGAATATACACTGCTTTTGTGATCTGTCAGTAATACAGGATGTGCACTTTTGTTCTTAAATCCTTCTTAGGGTACAAAGTGTCATGGTTTATATTCAGTAGCGACCCCTCCATCATAGATGCTACTAAGATGTTCATCTCTTTCCTCATTTTGTGGTGTTTGAATAGGCTGTATTAAAGTAGCCTGTCAAAGACTCAGACACCTGAAATAAGACTGTAAAAGTATTATAGGGTTACCTAAGGCCACATGAAATGATTACCTCAAACCTTCATGTATCTTCTCTGAGGAAAGATTAACTTTGGAGTTTACTTCATTAGATAAAATGTAGTAATGCAAAAATGATCTTTTGCAATTTTTTCCAGCATTTTGTTTGTGCCAAGTGTGAAAAACCATTTCTTGGACATCGCCATTATGAGAGGAAGGGGCTGGCATATTGTGAAACCCACTATAACCAGGTATTGAATTTACTCATTGGATGCTAGATATACTTTTATTAATTTAAGCTTATCAATATTTTAACTACAAGGAAGTCTCTTGGAAAATGTACATAGGTCTACAGAGATTTGTTTTTAACTTTTTACTTGGGAAATAATTTCAGACTCACAGAAAAGTTGTAAAATAAAAAATACAAAGAAAGCCTGTACGCCTTTTATTGTGATTCACCATTTGCTTTATCGTTTCCATGCGCTCAATCTTGTTACATAAAAGTACACACTTACATAAATGGATGCATCTTTATACACAAATATATGTATACATATATGCAAATGCACACAGTTTTCTTTCTGAAGTATTTGGATAATAAGTTCATCATGGTCCTTTACCCCTAAATACTTCAATGTGTATTTCCCAATAATATACTCTCTTACATAACCATAGTTATTGTTATTGATACTTTAATCCATTTATTCCAATTTTGCCACTTGACCCAATAATGTCCTTTTAGCATTTTTTCCACCCTGGGACTGGACAGTCTAGGGCTGTCACGTTTCTTTAGTGTCCTTAAATCTGGAACATTTCCAGAGCCTGTTTTATTTTTGATGACATTGACATTATTGAAGAATACAGATCCCCCCACTTTTAACAGACTGCTTTTCCCTTTGGTTCGCCTGTTGGCTCTCGGTGATTAGGGTAAGTTATGCACGCGAGGCTGGAGTGCTGTGCGCGTCCTCAGGGCCTCACGTCTGGAGCACACAGTGTTCACCTCTCCCTCATTGACAATCACCATGGCACGGAGCTGGCTACCTCTACAATGAATTACTATTTCCCCCTCCCTCACAACTAATAAGCAATTTGTGGGTGGTCACTTTACGACTATGTACATGTCCTGTTCCTCATCAAAATTCCCCCTAGGTTTAGCATCCCTGATGATTCTTGCCTAGTCCGATTACAAATGATAGTTCTCCAGCTCCCACACCCTCCACACTTAGTCGAACTTCAGCGATCTGCTTGAATGGGAGCCCACCCTCTCCTGTCTATAGGTTTATTCATTCATTTATTTCTTATCTGTTTAGACTCATATTTTTCAATGCTTAATTAGTTTGGTACTCAAACTGTCATCTAGAAAGTTTTTTTTGAAGTGATGAAAAGTAAATTATTTTCATTGTAAGAAGTAAAAAACCTCATCAATGAACTTTTACTAATTTTCTCTAGTAATGGTAAATTCTGGATTTCGGTAGCCAGCTATGTTTTTAAGTTATAAAAAGAACTGAAATTATATTAAATGTTCAGTGTTCTAAAGTGGAATTCTAACATATCTTGAACTTTTACTTTTTTTTTTGCATTTTTAGCTATTTGGTGATGTTTGTTTCCACTGCAACCGTGTTATAGAAGGTGATGGTAAGTATCTGTGTGGATTTTATATGGCACTATTTTGATGATAAACGCTTGGGTAATGTGAAATTGGAAGAGGTTGATGATTGCTTGCTGTTGTTTGGAATGTGATCATTACCACTTTTTCTCTCTTTGACTTACTTCCCAAGTCATTTATAGCAGTGATATGATAATATCCAAAAATTAAGATACCTATTTGATGATACTTTAGGCCACTGCTGCAGTGTTGTTACCCCAGCAATTGTGGGGACTGTTCCTGGTGGACCCTGAGACCTCCTGTTTCTATTTCCTGTCCCTGGAAGCTCTAGAGCAATGTTTATAGGGAGCAGTTTAATCATCTGTGGTAGTTAGGAAGAGTCACTTTAACCCTGCACATTCTAAAACCTGGCAGTTATCTGCAAGCATTTCTAGGACGTATCACGCTTGTGCTGTGGTAATTAGGCAGGGCTGATTGACTGAAATGGAAAGGAAACAGCTGTGTTTGCTAATGGTCACTAACACAATGCTGCCGGAGGCTTCCTGGCAAAGTTTTAAACAATCCTGTTTTCAGCATGCCTCATGGTTCTCGGCAGACATCACCTAACTCAGGAAATACTTTCTGAAACATTGCTCATGTGTAGTTTGCGAAGTTTAGTTCAGGAAGACAATCTTTAGTGCCGTTGAAAATACTCCCTCCTACATGAGATAGTTGCCAAGTGAAATAAGCTGTCAAAGGGAAGCTATTATTGTCAGCTTTGAAAGAAAGACTCTTCCAGGCAAATAAGATAATGTCTACATTTTTAAAAATTATGTGTCTAGTTGGTATTTCTTTGTTGGGCCAACAGCAGTAAGGGGGCAGAAACAGCGGAGATTGAGCAGGTTGGCAGCACTGTGCCGGAGTGCTTGTGAGTGACACATGCATGCTCATGGCATGGTCCCCAGGCCCAAGGGCATAATCTGGTGCAAGGTATGGTATATGCTGTCACTATGCCTCACAGGATACTTATGGGAAGGGGATAATCACTATAAATAAAGGCTGAGAAAAGGCAATAATAATCTTCCCTAATGAAGCCTTTAGTCATGGAAGACATAAGTGCTCAGTTTGCATGTTTTTTTAGTGATGTAGAAAAAAATAGTATTAATAATTAATAAATTTGACTGATTCACTTTAAGTGATGGCACTGAGGTTTTTAGCTAAGTGATTCTTTTGCAAGAAAACCTCTCATTGACAGTGCCGGCCCCTTGCAGTTCAGCAGAAAGGAGGCACGGGAGCAGAGCTGGTGGTAACTGCCACTGCCTGGGGCACCCAGGGACCTTGGGCCCAGCTCACCCTCCCGCTCCTGGTCACTGCTGTCAGGTGCCACGAGCAGGCTTGGACCCCCACCTGGAGGGCCACTGTATTAGTCCGTTTCTGTTGCTTATAAAAAAAATACATGGAACTGGGTAATTTGTTTAAAAAAAAATGTATTGCTTACAGGTTTCTGAGGCTGGGAAGTTCAAAGTCCAGGGAACACAGCTGGTGAAGGTTTCTTTGTTGGTGACTTCAGTGATGGCAGGGTGTCACATTGTGAAATGGCAGAGCAGAGAGAGCAGAGACTAACGTCATTCACTCTCCTTTTAAAGCCCTCCAAACCATACCTGTGACCACCATTTTTAATCCATTCACTGTGGTACAGTCCTACAATCTAATCACCTCTTCAAGGCCCTAACTTTCAATTACTATAATAGGATTTTGCACCCTCAAAAGTTACAGTGGGAATTAAGCTTCTACTATGTGGAATTTGGGGACACAATTCAGTCCACAGCAGCCACCCTGAAGACCCTCTGGAAAGGTGTTCATAAGGTAGACACACCTGAACACCGCCTTGGACCTGCTGAGAGGCGAGGACGGATCTGCCAGTGTAAGTGCAGTGACGGACCTAAGCCTCTCCCATGTTATGGTTTTAAACCTTCTTGGCCGAATGGATGTGGCCCTGCACTGTTTGGTGTTCATCTTGACAGTGGCGTCCCTTCCTGGACAAAGTGCTGCAGCCAACACGACAGGTGCTCTGAGACCTGTGGCGACAGCAAGAAAAGGACTGTGACGAGGAGTTTTAGTATTGCTTCTCCAAGACCTGCCCAGCATGTTTGGGCGTGTGAATCAGCAGTGGAGTTGCTGTTCCAGTGTTAACAGCCACACCTGACAGCTAACCAGCTGCATGTAGGTGTCGCTACAAAGAAAAAGCTGATCTTTAAAGAAGACGCTGACAGCGGGTGACAGATGAGGACAGCAGAACATAACCTCTGACAAAGAACTGATATTTGTACAGTGGAAAGATGTCTTATTTTTGCAAAAGCATTATTTTAAGACCTTACATGACTATATTTTGATGTTAAAACCTCAAAGTAAAAAAAAGTGGGAGAGGTAGTGAGGAGAGCATGCCTGCCTTCCCCTGTCTCTTCCTCAGTGTGCCAGGTTATCTTGACCAGGTATCAAAGACAGGTGCATGTTAAAGGAGAAATTCTGAATTTTCACAACCATACTTACAAAAAAGAGATCAAATATAAAATTCAAGTCTGTTCAATATTTTCTTATTTGGAAATATGCGAAAATCTTGACTTTGAAGTATTATTTGTTTAGTATGAAATTTTATTTATTTATTTATTTATTTTTTGTCCTTTGTGAGACCGGCCGCACCGCACTCAGCCAGTGAGCGCTGAGCGCACCAGCCATCCCTATATAGGATCCGAACCCGCGGCGGGAGCGCTACTGCGCTCCCAGCACTGCACTCTCCCGAGTGCGCCATGGGCTCAGCCCTAGTATGAAATTTTATTTTATTTTTTATTTTTATTTTTTTTCCTTTTTGTATTTTTTTACTGACCGGTAACGGGATCGCAACCTTCTGTGTCGCACCCATACCGGGGACTGGCAACGGGATCGCAACCCTCGGTGTTGTGCCCGCCCCGCGCTCAGTCAGTGAGCGGGAACCAGTCTCCACATGGGATCCGAACCCTCGGTGGGAGCGCCACCGTGCTCTCAAGCGGTGCACTCTCCAGTGCGCCACCGGGCCGGCCCCGTAGTATGAAATTTTAAATACATATTTATACCTGGAAGGATCTGACTTAATTTTTCCCTATTTTAATTACACATAAATGTTGTTTCTCTGTAGCCAGTTGAGCATATGAATGTCACACTTCTATTAGGACTAGTTACAAGGACAAGATTTTGGAACCATCAGCTGGTAACCTCTTAACGAACAAACCCAGGATATCTAAGGATTATATGCCTAGAAGGTGATGTGAACAAGATTCAGAAGTACAGCCAACTCCCATTTTATGATCCACTCATATGACAAATGTCATCTTTTGTTAAAAAGATTAATGAGACAAGTGAAAAGTTGTTTAACATAACACATCAGAGCTATATGTTGTTATACTTTGATATTTATTCCCTAGCACTTGTTCCATAGTAGACCCTGGGATATTTTTAAAAGATCGTATGTAACATTTTACCAATTGTGGCATTAAAAAAAATTGTTCTTGGAGAAAAAAGAAAGAACAGACCTTCCTCCAAGTGCCATGGAAATAGCTTTAGTTCTATTTCAGAATTGAAAATTTAAGCTGCCTCAACTCCCATACCAATATATTTCCATGTGACCAGCTCTCTTTCCTCTTTCTCTAGTGGTCTCTGCTCTTAATAAGGCCTGGTGTGTGAACTGCTTTGCCTGTTCTACCTGCAACACTAAATTAACACTCAAGTAAGTCTACAGTTTGGTCCAGTGTGAATCCTAAAACTGAAAACTTTGGGGTGATGTTTAGAAAAAATTTCAAGAATTGTATTTATTTATTTATTTTTCCTGGCTGGTACAGGCATAGAACCTTGCACCTTTGTGTTATCAGTATCATGCTCTAACCAACTGAACTAACCAGCCAGCTCCTAGAATTTCTAAAAAAGATTCTTTATTTCTTCTTTGTGTTCAGGCTTTCTGAAAGTAAAGGCTCTTCCTTTAATTGTTCCTTGTTCTTTCTTCTATTTCTTCTTTGTCCTACTCAAAGGGATAAGTTTGTTGAAATTGATCTAAAACCAGTCTGCAAACACTGTTATGAGAAAATGCCAGAAGAATTTAAGAGGCGACTTGCCAAACGGGAAAGAGAAGCAAAGGATAAGGACAAGCAGAAAAAGAAAAAGCCAGTCTGTTTGTAAACTTTTCTATCCCTTCTATCTTCATGTTTGCTACTTTCTTCTTTGGTTAGTCCTTTGGAGCATGCTTTCTGTTTTTGTCTTTTTCCTTTTTTTTCTTTTTTTCCTTTTTGGCATGAATTTTTAGCCATCAGAGATTGAAATTTAAGTATTTGTCCTGTGTAGAGTTGGTCTTTTTGCATAATTATTCAGATTATAAAGCTTAAATGAATAAGGTCTACAGTTGATACTGGCTTGTGCTCATGTATTTCCCTTAATCTGTAGACTCACTTATCTCTTTTTTTAATCAAAATGTGGTACAGACTTTTTTTTTTTTTTAATGGATTCAGGGGAAGAATTCCATTCTCTTAATGGATACTAGGAAAAGTTTCAGAGTATTTTTGTCTGATAACTACAGCTTTTAGAATCCTGGTCTTTGGTTTCTTTGCCTAAAATCATTTAATTGATAAATTCTAAGTGGTGTTTGTTGTTTTTTAAAATGCATGTGTTCTCAGTTCTGTATTAAATTCTTTCAGCATATCTGAGCAAAGTCTGTCTAATTTACACAGTAAGATACCTCCTCTCTGTGAGCGCATATGTGCTTCATACAGTCCCCATGTGCTGCTGTTTCTGAATTCATTTCCTTCATTTCTTCAAACTTTCTTCTGTTCTTTTTTATGGGAAGTATTTCTATCCTTGAAATTCTGTTGAATTATTAGCGCTATTGTTTCATTTTTCTCTCATGGTTACTAGTGTTTTTTTTTTTTTTTCCCCCTTTTTGTCTTTTTTACTGACCAGTAACGGGATCGCAACCCTCGGTGTTGCGCCCGCACCGCGCTCAGCCAGTGAGCGGGAACCGGTCTCCACATGGGATCCGAACCCTCGGCGGGAGCGCCGCCGTGCTCCCAAGCGGCGCACTCTCCAGTGCGTCACCGGGCCGGCCCTAGTAGTGTGTTTTGACTTTTAAAAAATTTTACTCTTTTAGGTTTCATGTTTCCTTTTATAAAAAGGAGTTATGCAAATATAATATTAAAGCAATGGAACGTTTAGCAATACTTGCTAAGTAGTCCCTCTGAAGCAGGAATAATTTATTTCTTTCACCCCAAAACTGGCAATTTTAATTGCTTTTGTTCTAAGAAGACTTTGAGAGAAATTTTTAACACAGTTGTGTTATTTAAATCAAACTGGCTCCTTGAAGCATTTGATTTGCCAGGTAAAATGTAACATTTGAATTTCTATGAGCATGTCTGTGAAAATAGCTGGAAAATAATTCCCATTGCGATGTTTAAAATAGAATTTTTTTTGTTTTAACTATGTCGTTAGGAATTACCTTTGCTATTAATAATGTTCTTTAAAACGATCTTGAAGCAAGTAGTTTAGTTTAATATACTTTTAAAATACATTAAATATTATATCAAGTTTATAATTTCTGTCATAGATAAAAATAGATATAATATTTGTCATAGGCAGTATATACCACTAGACTTGTTCCACAGATGCTTTCTAAATACAATTTCATAGAAAATGAACAAGTTATAAAGTTGTATATTTACTCAAATCAAAATTAAAGACCCTGGATTTCAACAATAACAAGCTACTGTAATTTTCTGTTGGAAATGCATTACAGATGGTCAGGAGGCCATCTGAAAAGTTGTCTTCATCAGTACTATTTTATAAATAAATTGATAATATGTATTGCTCTACCTTTTCAAAATAATTGAATTCTCCATATAGCTACCATTTACAGTACAGTCATGGACGACCTGGTTACACTTCTGTTCTTTAAGAGTGACTAAAAAATTTCTTATATCTCCCTTACTAACCTTTCTGTCAAATAATTAAAATAACCCATTGTGATTTAAGATAATTCAGAAAAAAGTTTAAAGTAATTTTTTGTTGTTGTTGTTGGGGCTAGGTAGAAAGCCATTTTATACCAGGAAAAATGAAACCTCATAGCTACCTAATTTAAAATACTGAGTAAGATCATTTTGCCTCCAATAAAGAGAACATTCGTATTATAAAACTACAATTCTCTGCTTTAAATAAATTTATTCTTTAAGATGTTCTTGTGGTACTTTAAAATGTGATAGACTTTACTTGCCTAAATTATATTTATATTAGATTTTCTGTTTACTTAGTACTGAGAACTGTTACCCAGATAGATATATAGTACCAATTTATAATGAGTTTTTTTCAATGATATTTTTTTTTACATTTACTACAGTAAGAATGAGATTATAATTATATGTAGTTCTTTACTAACATGAATATAGGTTTCATCATATAGTGTTTTCATTTAGTTCAATACAATTACTTCACATTATTTATATGTCTGTGTTCAATACATATCCACTAATTTTTTTTTCATGATTATTATCTTTAGGAACAAATTTGTGGAGTTTGACATGAAGCCAGTCTGTAAGAAGTGCTATGAGAAATTTCCATTGGAGCTGAAGAAAAGACTTAAGAAACTAGCTGAGACCTTAGGAAGGAAGTAACTTCCTTTATTTTATTTTTTTTCTTCTATGCAAAGATAAGAGATTACCAACATGACTTGATTGACCTTATTTAAAGCTATATTTCAAAGCAGTTAAGAGTGAAGAGGACCTGTATGAATAGTTTTCTTCAACTACTTTTTCTCATTAAAAAGAAGAAAAATTTGTATGTTCATATTTAAAACACAGATGAAACCAAGATATGCTTTTATTAACCCATATCAATTTATTGACATATACACTATATAGCAAAAAATACATGGCTAAATGTTAAATTTTAATTAAGGCTCTAAAATTTAAATATAACTTCTTAAAATGAAAGAAGCCACCTTTTACATGACTCATATAATAACGGTATAAACATTAGTTTACTTTGTAGTCAAAAGAAAATTATTTACAACAGCTGTTGGTGGAAGATATCAGGAAGAAAAATGACCAACCAAGAAAAACAAATCTTACACAGTCTTAGTATGATTATCAAATTAATAGCTGTAAAATGAATATACACACTCCTAAGACAAGAAACAGGTATATTCAGAACTACTTGATTTTGTTACTTTTTTGTTATTTGCAATGATTATTATGCTTTGTTTTATATTTTGTCCTCTTTGTGAACTTCTTCCTTCGTATGATTACTTAACACAGTAGTTATAGCTAGCTAATAGTATGTCTTTCAAAAATTTGTGCAAAAAATTTGTATCAGGTATTTGAAAATACAGTATACTTTACAATATTGGAAAGATGAAATATTTTTTAATGTATTACAGCAATTATGCTTCTAAGCTTAATGTCAGACATGTCTTAGAATAGGACATGAAATTAAATTTTATGTAGCTTGGAAAATACACCATCACTTAAAAAAAAAGTGGATGTGTATGTATTGGTCATATAGCCTTTATAACCATGCTAATATCTATACTTTATACATAATCAAACTTGCCTTGCCGGCCTTAGAAATACACATGCTTTAGTCAGAAAGTCTAGCCGTTTCATACAGTATCAACTAAAAATAAGTGCATTTACTGAGATTGGTAAACCCAAATTTATTTACCACAACTGTAATTAAATATTAAAAAATTTTTTCTGGGGCCGGCCCGGTGGCGCACTGGATAGTGCGCTGCTTGGGAAGTGCGGCGGCGCTCCCGTCCGAGGGTTCGGATCCCACATACAGACCGGCTCCCGCTCACTGGCTGAGCGAGGCGCGGGAGCAACGCCGAGGCTTGCGATCCCGTTGCCGGTCCCCGGTCCGGTAGGGGGGCAACACTGAGGGTTGCGATCCGTTGCCGGACACGGAAAAAAGACAAAAAAAAAAAAATTTTTTTTCTTTCTTTTCGGGGAACCGCATTGAAATTCATTCCTGTCATCTTTTTGTAAGAGAATGATGTTGACATGTGTTTCATGTTTTCCATTTCAAATCTCATAATTAATTAGATTTTATTTACTATAGGTAGAAAGTATAAATGACACTTAAATTGGAAGAGGGATGTTTTGGTGTCAATTTTAGGCCAAAATTAGTGAATTATTTTATTTCATAAAAAGTTCTGTTCTGAAATTTCTGGACCGTTCTTTCTGGGTAAACTTGTTAGGCAAAGCAAGCATTTGAACGTTTAAAAAATGTTCTTGCTGTTATGTTATTCAAGAAGAAAACTGCCAATATAGACTTCTAACGGGGATATTACTGATTTTTCCAAAAATTGCTGAAATATTATTTTGCCATAAGAAAATCTCAGGATGCTACCACTCTGCCATTAAAATACATGTACGTATGCATTAAAGAAATCTTGTGCATGCAGTTTACAGAATAAATTCTGTTTCTGTTTTCAGATAACTTATAACCAGTACTTTATTTTTTAGTGTTCTTTTAGAGTTAAAGGAATTATTATTATAAATGATTGAAAATAATTAGTATGTAGTTCAGGACTGTATGTGCTCAGTAGTTTAAAATTGTCTCTACTTTTGACAATAAGAATCAAAATCCCCTCAGTGTGCCTTTGACAGCCGATATATGACCAGCAATGAAAAGCTTGAAAGTATTTATTAAATATTATACTATGCATATAGGCAAAATAGGACAGGGTTTGCAGTGTAGGGTCTTCATGCTGAATTCTTACATACCCCTGCACTACTCCTGTAGAAATACAGAGCAGAAGAGCAGACATTTGCATATATTCTTGATCACTTTGAAGATGTGTGGACCGAACTCGATAGCTTTTGTTTACATATCATAGATGACCAGACATCACCTGTAGCCAGAGTTCCCACTGCTGTCTTTGCTCAGTCCTCTCTTAAAATATGAATTATTATTTCCTGGAAGTATTTTTAGTGGGCTTGCCCTGGCTGCTGAAAAATTCAGGCCAGTGAGCATTTCTTTTTTTAAAGTCCTGTAAGACAATTTGAAATAATTCACTGTTTTTACCTAATTTCTACATGCTCTTTTTCTTAGCAAGCCTAATATAATTTGGGAAAATGGGTAAAAGTAAAACGTTCTTTGGATCATGTTCAAAGCCTTACTAACAAACACTGCACCTCAACCTCAAAAGATAGGTCATTTTGCCTCACCCATTTGCCGTAATAGCCATTTCTAAGTTAAGGAAATTTTGAGGTAGACTTATAGCATTCTTGTTGTATTCCAGTTTAGATTGTAAGCTCAATGGCAGGGGCACTTTATCAACAGTTATGTTTTTATATAGCAACCACTGCAGTATACTCTTTGTTGGTGCTTAATAAATGTTCATAATTATTAACAATAACCTGTTATGCGTTGTTTAATTTGAATGGCATAAAATATGAAATGTATATATGAAAATCCAAGTATTCACAAATACATAATAGACACACTCATGTATATGAAGAAAAGAAAATGATCTGGCTACTATGTATAAGCCCAATCTTCCAACCATATAGAATGGTGGTGGCGTCTTCCCATTATAGGGAATGTGAGACAGGTCTTTACATCTCCACATGGGAGGTGTGGTGGGGCAAGCACAGGGTGTGCAAGATCATGGTGGTGGGATGCCCAAGGAACGGAGCAAAGTTTTCCTAGAAGAGCTGGATCTTGAGAGACGAATAGAAGTTAGCCAGGCATGGAAGGAGGCTAGGGAGTGGGCTTCCCAGGCCCTCCTCCATTTCCTGTTTTCTACAGTCCTCCATTTCCCTTGCTGGTAACCCCACCTCTCCAGACCCCCAAGCTAATAACAAGTTGACTTCAGTTCTTCCCTCCCCACAACCTCCACCTGCTCCCACATGTAGTTACTCCAAAACCCATCAACTCAGCTGTGAGTTGAAAGCTACCTTCTGCTCCTCCCAGCTTGCAGCCCCTGTGTCCCAGAAACCTTCCTTCTGCTCCTCCCAACTTGCAGCCCCTGTCTGCCTGCAGACTATCCCTGCAACCATCAGTCAATTCACCCTTGCTTCTTATTAACCTTGGTTTGGCTTATTGAAACAAGATGAAGTCCCAACTCTTCCATGTGTCATCAAGGACCTTCGCAGGCAGGTCCCAGCCTACTGGTAAGTCTGTTTTTCTCCCAATGGCCAATGCATGTGCCACAGAGAATTGACTGTCTTTCCCAGATCTTGACCTACCTGCAATAAATGTACCACAATAAATTTATTGCCCTCTTGCAATAAATGTACCACTTTTGCTTTTGAGACTCAGCTCAAATTTCACACCATTTGTGAGGTCTTTCCTGACTTGTTCAAGCAAGAACCATTCTCTCTTCTTTGTTCCCACAGTTCTTTGGGCGTATGTCTGTCTCAGTGGTTATGATGTGCATTGTAAGTACTGGCTTATGTTCCCACCAGGAGGCTGGCTCCTTGAAGGGAAGGACTGTGCTGTCTTTTCTATGTCCTCTGTGCCAGTAACATCACCCGACACTGGCAGGAGCGTGGTGACACTGAAGAAGTGAGGAGATGCTTGTGTAGTGCACATTACTCCTTCACTGGTTTCTCAAGTATTCTACAAAGATACTAAAATTTTTAAAGCTAAAAACCAGCACAAAGACCTCAGCCATGGTTTTCTTTTTAAAAACACAAATGTTATCCCTTCCTTGCCCCCCCCCCCCAAGAAAAAATCTACTTGGGAAATGCTTATAATAAATATGAAAAGCAGCATCCAATGTCCTGTAGAGAATCATCATAAATATGTGCAAAAAGGCATTTTATTTATTTTTTATTTTTTATTTTTTATTTTTTTATTAAAATGGGATTTATCAAAGTTCATCTTCCAACAATGTGGTTAGTTACCATTTAATTTGGCTAACTTTTTTTTTGAACCTTCTTACCTTGCAGACACTGATTTAAGTAAGCGTTTTATGTGCATACTATCATTTAATTTTCACAATAGCCCTGTGAGGTCGGTTCTAGTATTGTCTCCATTTCAAAAAGGCATTTTAAAAGGATGGAGGAAATACATCAAAATGTTATGAAAATGGTTCCTGGGCCGGCCCGGTGGCGCACTCGGTAGAGTGCGGCGCTTGGGAGCATGGTGGTGCTCCCGCCAAGGGTTCGGATCCCATATAGAGACCGGTCCGCTCACTGGTTGAGCGCGGTGCGGGCGCGACACTGAGGGTTGCGATCCCGTTACCAGTCACGAAAAAAGACAAAAAGGAAAAAAAAAAAAAGAAAATGGTTCCTAAATTTTTTGTTTGGAGTTTTGTTTTTTTTGGTTTATTTGCAGGGTGGGGAAGGGTGACTGTATTCAGGTGGTGTATTTTCAAGTTGCTAAAATAAATGTTATGATAGAATAACGGGAGATGTTAACTTTATGTTTCGATTTTGTCCTGTTAGATGTGTTAAATGTGTATCCTATAACGTTGTTGACTTTTTTTTGGCAAATTTTTCCCCATAGATGGCGCAATGGTGAACTAAAAGCAGTTTACGTCTCAATTATCACAAATTCTAACTCACACTGAGTTGAAAGTAAAGCTTTCACCCTGATGAATCAATCACCCTGCCTGGTAAAAATTTTAGATTTACGAAGCCATTTGCCCTTGCAATAAAGATTAGTGACATTCATTAAATGGAGAATCTTCTACTTGATCCTGTGGCATCAAAAAGCCCAACATGACAGCAAGATTAGACAGTAAAGCAGGAGATCCCAAAGTTTTAGAGGTGAGGAGAAACTACCTTTTCTCTTTGTAAAACACTGGGCTCTCCCTGTGGAGACTGACTGTAAAGTCACAGGTCAGGACACAGTGGCACGTTCACTTGTGCTGCCCAGTGTCCACTGGGGGTTCTAGAAGTTGGGGGATGTAGGGGGCCACTGAACTCATGACCTATCAGTTAAGGCTTTAAGTTTCTGGTGGTCACAATATAGTATTTGGAGTACACTTGGAACAAATTCACTACCAGAAAGAAATATACCTTATTTATATGGTCCAAGAAGAGGATCTTAATCCCCAAAATATTAGAACAAGCATCATGAAAAGAACAGCTTATAAAAAGA